GCCGTCCATCTCAACATAATACCCTCACGGCAATGAACTGAAATAAATTCTCGAGATTTTCAAGCAAGCAAAAACAACCACTGCATCAAGCAAAACCGTGAGACGTGATTCATTTGTAAAGGATCAAAAAGTGCTGTCAAAATTCGGACGTGTGAGAATTAGGAAGTAGCGGCGGATCAGTGTTCAACAATGAAATTTCAGTGCCTTATTAATTAACTCATGAGATCCTAGTTGAACCGTAGTCATTCTTGGATATTCTATCCAATGGTTGAGCACTTCATGGATTACCAAGTTTTGTGTGGTGATACGTTCAGAGCACTTCGATTACACGTTCGGGATTGACCAATAACATTGCGAATGGTACTTGATAGATGATTGATAAAACAATCTGAGAATCAGAAGGATTGATTCCCATACCCTCAGATTCACGACACCTACGTGATCCCCTCCAAAATTGGGAATTTCCATCAGTAGGGTGTGTATTCAGCAGAAAGATCTGTTCCTGCTAAGTGACGTTATAGCACTAAAAGATAGAGCATTGGAAATAAACTGCTTATTGTGAACTTGTATGATTCAAAATTTGAGGTTTTTGGAATTTTTTTGCGCATAGTGCGGAGTTTAGGAAATTCCTATCAGTAACATGGATGAGATTCGTGGAATTGATTTTGTCAGCGACGCTAACAGCGGATTATTTTTAGCGAAACAAAAATGTGTTTTTGAGCGAATAAGCGATTGTCAGGGCTATTTTTTCCAGTAGCGTGCTCATCGCAGTATTTATTTCCTCTATTGCCCACTCATTCAATGTTCGATATCTCGCACATATCAGTATTTTCATGAATGTTTGTGATTATTTATTTTTGCTGCGTTAATATCCAAGTGTCCTAGGAAAATTGAGTTAGGAATAAATGGAGCGAAAGGAGGATGTGATTCGTCTTAATCGTCCCTGTGAACTTAAATAACGATGTTTCGAAAAAGTTGGGCTTCGGAAAGATCGTCCATGATTATGTTATCGTGATGATCCATTAACGAGCCTGTATCGTCGACAGAATTCAGTTTATCATCGGCATATTTAAGAAGTTTTTAATGTTGGCATGATGTTAGAAGTTTATGATTGATTCCTTCACAAGGTTTTAATTCTACCTGATTTCTCCTCATCTAGAAACCAGAAAAGCCTTGGCAAAGGAATTAATTTGGAGAGGGAAACGTGTACGACTGAAAATGTTATCATATGAGATATTTGAATTGTTAGCATTATGAATAATGTTTACTGATAAGTTATAGCATTCATCAACAGATAGACAGATCGAGAGTAGGTCACACCAATTCACTGATGATATCAGTTTGTTTGCTGTATGATAATCGCCTTTAAGTAATCTGCGTCATTATTATCATTGTTGAAAGTGAAACGATGTATC